CCCCAAAACCCCAAAACCCCAAAACCCCAAAACCCCGTTTGAGTATGAATAAATTGAGAATTTAGCAGGTGAAATATTTTGTGTCTGTTTTATTCTTAACTTCAGGCTTGAAAGGAGCAGATAATTTCTTATTCCTTATCTCTTCGATATCAATACCCTTAAACCAGGGATGAGTGAGAATCTCCTTAGCATCTTCTTCTGTGCCTAGCCTTTTATCTTTCTTTTTCTCTAATAATTTACAAATTATATCCTTCGCTTGATCAGAGTAATCAATCTTATACTTTTTCTTATTCGGAAACACTATTTTTGAGAACTGAATCTTTGACATCATTAAGTTTCTGTTCTTATTGTAAAATGGAGTAACTCCAATCAGCATTTCATAAATCAGTACTCCTACTGCCCACCAATCAACTGCTCTGTGATGTCCTTTGCTTGAGATGATTTCAGGAGCGAGGTATTCAGGAGTTCCTCAGAAAGTCATGGTCTCTTCCTCGTTCTTCAGAATTTTAGCAAGGCCAAAGTCTATTATTTTAATATACCCGTCAGCATCGATGAGGATGTTCTCCAGCTTAAGGTCTCTATGTACAATGTTCCTGTCATGAAGGTACTCCAAGCCTAGGATTAGCTGAATGGTATAAAACTTGACGATTTCTTCCGGAAATCGTTTGTTTTTCTTCAGCAATCTGTATAACTCCCCTCCTTGCACATAAGGCATAACGAAATAGATAGATTCTTCATTCTGGAAAACGAAGTCCATTCCAAGTAAGAACGTGTGGTCTCAAGAGAGCAGGATTTGCTCTTCAAGCTTGGTGTTCTCCTCCTGGTCATACTCTTTAAGAATTTCCTTGCTAATGGATTTGATGGCGTACAGACTCCCAGTACTTCTGAGCTTGGTTAGGTATACTTTGCCAAATGTTCCTTGCCCTAAGAAATCGATGATTTCAAAATCTTCCAAAGTAACAGCTTCAGTCTGAACTGTTGATTGAAATATTCAAATAGATTCTCTTTGGATCAGGTCATCATGGCTATACTCGAGAGCCTGGTTGAGTAAGTCCTGACTGAGATCCTTTATCGAGTCTCTTGAGTTCTCTACTTTTAACTCCCCAATAGAGTAACTTGACCGGGAGCTATTTCATAAAATGAGATACTATTAACTCTCGACTTTTTTAAAATCTTTATGGGTGAATGTAAATTTGGTTAAGAGGTAAAATGGATTCCTCAGAATATAAGTAAACCTTACCCTGATTCCTCTTTAGTAGCTGTGTCAGTCTGCTTATCTTCCTCTTCATCTATAACCTCGACTTTCTCTTCTTCTACTACCTCTTCCTTGATCTCTTCTGTTCCTGCAATTTCTTTTTCCTAAAAATAAGTTTTAGATTATATGGAAAGTGTTTTGATGCGTCCCAGCTTGCCAGCAACCACAGAGAGTAGAGGTTTTCTGGAAATTAGCCTCTTAATGAATGAAGATTTGGAGTGGTTCAAGAGAGCTTGAAAGCCTAAGCTATTTATGCATCCCAAGCTGTACATTAGACTTATAGACCCATAGCTCTGTCAGACTTAGTGTACATTGAATGTAAGCATTAACTTACTCTAACCCGATACTTTTCTTCTGGAAGTTTGATGATGCCATACTTGCGATCTCTGAGAGTTGCAACGTACTTCTTCAGATTATCAGGACATTCATATACTTTGAATGTTGATTTGGAATCCATGTTTGCAAAACGCAGCTGGAGGACACTCAAGAAGTTTTCATAAGCAGAGAGTGGCATTAAATATCTTTGGTCATACTCTGATGGTACATGAAGAACTATATCCTTTGAAGCATGCTTAGAAGGGCTACTTGGCTTTTTCCCTTCCTCGTCTGGCTTTCTCATAACCACTGCCTTAAAATCTGTTATTTTAGTTTTCCTCGTCTGCTTGGCTTTTCCTTTGAAATTATACAAATGCGTAGACGTTACTACAAGTATTCGCTCTTGCTTGCCATTATGCCGATTTATCTTATCGACCTTCTCAGAGAACATGACTATTTCGTCCTTTTCAAACTGTCTTGAGAAGGATTTGCTAGATTCGATTCCTAGTCTATCCCAGCCTTCCATAGTTAAATTTCTATTTAATTTCGCGAACTAGGGGTTTTGGGGTTTTGGGGTTTTGGGGTTTTGGGGTTTTGGGG